ATTAATTTTGGTTATCACATTCTAATAAATGTGAAAATGCAGAATATCAGTGAGAACTAAATCTTTGAGGACTATCCCAGTCTAGCCATATAATGAACTATAAAATTTTAAATTTTTCCCTGATAATGTTCCCAATAGTAGATATTTTTGAAAATATGGATAAGGATTTGTAACTTCAATTGAATATCATAAAACACTGGATCATGTCAAAGGCCATGAAAATGTGTGCATTTGTTGCAGAAATGCTTATTGATGAAATTTTCTCACAAGTGTAACAGCAAAAGGAGGGTTTGATGATTCCTAATAAATGAGAACATTCATTTTCTTTATTCAAACACCCTAAAATTCCCCTGCTCACTCTGAAAACACTTTGCAAGCAGATTGATATGCAGAGATTCATGTTTTTTTTCTAGCAAAAATTAGGTTAGTACTTCTGTCCTAAATTGATATCTCAGTGATAACAACAGCTAATAACTCATTCTTACATATGCATTCCAGGCTGAAGTTCAGAAAAACAATTTCAGTCTAAAATCAACATTGGTCTTTTATCAATGTTTTTTAAAGATTTTCTTTTTTTCTTTTTTTTGGGGGGGGGCAGGTTTTTTGCTGATACCTTCTGCAATGTACATGAAATCAACAGGGGAAGAAAAAGAAACCTAGGTACTTTGTATTCTGAAAGGAAATTAACCATTTTTCCTCCCCATTTCCAAGGACTTTTTAGTAGGGAATACCCAAGAAAAATACTTTTTGATCAGTGGTAAAGTAGGCATCTCTGCAAAGTCTTTATATTTAGTGTAGTAGTTTTTTTTTGAAAGACAGGTTATTGAGAATCATGTAGTTGTTACCAATTGACATTAAGCAGCCTTTTTATAGACTGGGTCAGGTTAATTATTCCTTCTGGCTTTAGAAATCTAATCAACTCAGGAATAAGGGGTACATTTTAAATATGTATTCTAGTTTGTTATTTTTGTGGTCATTCTGTGTTACAGTACAAACTGAAATTCCTTAATATTTTGCACAGGTTGTGGACCTTGAGAGACCAAAAGATCAGAATTTCGACCCCTAATTGTCACACAGTTTTGTAGTGGCTAATTTGTACCAGTATAAAGCTCACAGTACTTTACAGGGGAAAAAAGAAAATATTATCCAGATATTTCTCCTAGGTTCTCTTTTAAATACTGAGCAACTTCTGATTTCACAGAAAAGCCAACTTCTGATTCAGTTGCATTCAGTTCAATAATGTGTCTCTAGGTTTAAAACTCTATTCTGAACTCTTCAATCAATGGAATCCTATTATGTCAGAAATTTAAGAAAAGTTTAGATTATACATGGTGTACCAAAAAGCAAATTGTGACATATTTCATGGGGAAATTTTTGTGACAGAGGGAGAATGTCCAATCAGAGGGAGCATCTCCAAAGCACACCACACTGTGTCCAACCAGAAATTTTGTAAATTAGCACAGTGTAGCTCTATCATCATAACTGCATCAAGACACAAAGTATCACACTACAGCTTATTTCAGAAGAAGATTTTAAAATTATGATCTGCTTTACCCCAAGAAATAGACAATTAGTTTATAAACTCTAGAAATGTGATATGAAACTAAGTCAATGAGGTATCAAAAGCTATAAGGAAATATGACACTATGCACCAGAGTGTGAAGCTGTGATTACTTTCTACAGCTATGCTCTTAGATCAAACTGAAAGTAAATAATTCACTGATGACTGTTAAAATATCTTATCAAATTTACTAGCACAGCTGGGCAGATATATGGAGCAGGCAAGTGGGAATGAAAAAGAAGAGGAAAAAAAACTGCTCAAAATATTTTAAGGGTTCAAATCATTTAATATCAAGAAATAATGCTTTCAAAATTCAGGAAAAATAAAGACCTTCACTTTCCCCACCCTTGAGGGAGGAAGAGGCTTTGCCCCCTCAGTTTTGCATCCCACAAAAGGGACATATCCATTCAGCTGACTTTAAGTCACAAGCCCTACATTCTGACAGGATCTGTCCATATAGACAGATTTTCCTTCTCTGAGTAGTGTTACTTTGAAGTCCACCTGTCCCACAAGTCCTTGTAAACAATTGTGCACTTTATCACCCTACAGAAAGATGCAGTTTTTTAATTAACCCTACTTCCACAACCAGAAAACTATGTTCCTTCAAGGGCTGAAATGATCTAATGGATCATCCCTTCTCTATCTTGAAGTACCACAAAGAGAACAGTGGAATTGTCAAAGGCATCCATTGAAAAATACAATTGAAAGAGATAGGAGAAAGAAAGCAGAAAAGTCAAGATGCATCCATTTTGATCCCAACAGTGGAAGTAACTGCACAGAAAACTGCTCAAATTTTATTTATCCTGTATATCTCTTCATTCCCACAAAGACACCACAAAAAGATGTGATAACTTAAAAATATCTTGATTTTTAATTTTTTGTGTGCTTTAACCAGTTATTTCTTTATTTGGTAAGGAGGAATCAGAATTCTTGTTGCATTCATACTGGCAAATAAAAATGGAGAATTATTTCCTTCCAAGATGGAGAATTTCTATTAAAATTTTTAAGGAAATTAATTTTGATCATCAGCCTATACAATGACGGAAAAGCTTAACATAATTATTTTTCTAAATTTGTGGAGGGCTCTGTTCTCTGATAGCAGAATTATTACAGTTTGACTACTACATTGCAATGACGAAGTTAATGATCTTTACAGGAATACAGTAACAGAGAAGCAATTGATTAAATTTTTTAAAAGCATTTAGAATAGTTAGAGGATTTCCCCTGGATCCATTTCATTTAACTTGAAGAAAACAACTCTTCAGGATAGAAACAAGTACCTGTACCAGGAGTTTGGCAGAAGCCAGTGTGCTCAGGAAGATAAAGGTCTTGAGCAAACCCCATCTGCCATATGGAGCCTTCTACACAAGGCTTGAGAAACCTGCATTCCAGCAAGAGTGGCCACAGCACAGCCATATACACACAACACTGTAAGGGAATGTGAGGGAATATCCTGTTCCAGGATTCCAGATATGCTAGATATGCTCTGACCGGCATATCAGGCATTAAGAAAGGGTAACAAACTCTGTCAAGAGAACTTGGAGAGTTTTGCTGCAGTAGATGTAAGGAGACACCATATACAGAAGGGGTGAACCTCTCCACAGCTGGTTATCCTGCACAGCACAGCATGGCTGTCCAGCTGGTGTCTGCCCAGTAAAGTTCCCATCCCTTGAAAGCACATTAATATTGGCTTGCCATCTGTATTTCTCTTCCTACCTTCTGCCTTATTCTACTTAATGTTCTGTCTTACTAGGACTTAGAAAGAGCCTTGCTCCACCTAGGGCAGAACAAGACCTCCAGAGTTCCAAAATAAGGTTATAAAACCCAAACTCAGCAAACTAACAGCCAGTTCTCAAACATTTGTGATAAGCCTCCAAGTCCAGAAGAAGACATTCAGGAAAATTTTTGTGACCTTTCTGGGCAGCCAAGAAAGCACAAGAGTTGACTACAGGATGGTCTTTTGGGAAAGACTGTGACTAAATGTTGAGCTAGAAAGGGAAGGAAAAAGAGTAGTCCGGGGTTCATTATTTCAATTTGTGACATAAGCAAAATGAGGGATAGGAGACAGGTGACTTCCCAAATTCTCTATCACTGCAGCTAAGGGACAAAAAAAAAAGACCCACCACAAAAAAAAACCCCAGCCCTATCTCAGGTTTATCTCAGGTATCTGTGCAATTTAAGCACTGCACAGAAAATATCCTCTTTCACTGCTTAACTTCATCACAGTGTCACACTGTGACGGAGATGTACCACAAGGACAAATTAAGAATGAGGTATGCAAACAAAATGCTTTTTTGGCTATTCTAAACTAGTTCTAGAATGGAAAAGGGCAAGGATAACATAATCTATCATTAGTAGAGCCTGAAGTTATAAAAAAAAAAAAAAAAGGTGAAGGGGAAGAAAAACTGAATTTTCCAACTAGTTATTTGACTTTGGATTTTTTTTAATTACACAAAATTAGGTTAACTGAAAAAAAAAACCAAACAAATAAATAAACAAACAGAAAATAAAGATAAAAAAGCTACTGTATTGATTCTGTCTAGTCCAGCAGGAGAAAGATGAGATTACACAAAACCCAGGACCAACCATGGGGTTTTGTGTATGAGGCAAAATTAAATAAGCAGTTACGTAGATCAGTGATAAAGAAAGAGTAGAAACACATTGTGACCCAGGACTTCAAAGCTTTAAGTTCAAAGGTATTAGATGCCTCACTTCTATTTAAAGCAAGGTCAAGTGATTAAACACTTGAAGAATTTTATCTGGAAAGTCCAAAAGGAAGGCTACCTGTACTTTAGGCGATAACAGGTACATTTACTCTGAATGCAGTCCTAGTTATGGGTCTAAATAATGATTCAGCTTCTCAAATCAGGACTGAATCAGCAATTTCCATGCTGCAGGACTGTTAGTTGCTTGTTTGCTACAGACAGATACAATAGATGTTTTTCAGTTCATGCACTGTCCTTTGAGATGAACATGGGACAAAGGTTTTGCTGGGGCCTAACTTTCCTAATGTTCTTTTCTTACATATCTTATTATATGCTTTAAAAGAGTTCCAATGACAGATTTTGCATTTAGTTGCAAATTTTTAGAGTATGAAGTTTCAAGACCCTTATTCTAAAATATCATTTATATTTTGAAAAATGCCTTTTGCTCCCTGACAGAAAGTTTCAGGAAGTCAGAGATAGATGATGATCAGCACATCTCCACAGCCTTCCAAAACAGCTGGCTTTGTCTGGGAGCTGACATCAGGTCACAACTTGGACCTATCCCAGGTGTCACTGATCGTTCTGTCCACATTTTTCTTTACTGAGAAAACCATCAACACCAGTGAAATGCCTGGAAGAAGGTGCTCAAGTCCTTTGCTCATACTAAACTAGATGCATAATAAAATATGTCATTATAGCTCTTTTAATTCAGTTAAGATTTAGCCTAGAAATACCTGCATGTACATCCATGTGAGTTTGTCTTGAGCTGTCTCCATATCCAGTGACTCTTGGGTTTGGTAGCTGAAGATTCAGCCAAACCTGACTGAGGAATGGAAAACGATAATATTTCAGTAAATTAAGAGGACCAGAAGGAGGTATTCCATTATCAAGTCATGCAATAGTGGAGATTCTGACAATATATATACATATATATATTTCCACACATAGCCTTTAAAAAAAGCTTCAGCAGCAAGAACTTCTGTTAGAGCTCCCACCATATGGAACTTGAAAACAAAAGAATGAACACAAAATATATCTGTAGAATTAATTTTAGAGATTTGTCACTCCCAGGACTACTTACTTCTTTTGCTACTACATGGCATGATTTGTACTTCAAGGTCTGTGGGCCTTCCTCTCTGTAAAGGTGGTAGGACATTAATTCTAGACAAACCATAGAATATTCCCTTTGTGAGGCAGTTAAATATTTTTTGAGATTAAACATTAATCATGAACTCTGACGCTTACTTCAGTGGAAAAATAGTTTTCCTGTTTCTTACATCCCACTTCCTCCCTTCAAAGGACAGAAAAATCTGCTATCTGGTATATCACTCCTAAAGTAAGACATACACTGATGAATCTGCAATAACATTAAATATAATTTCTATCCCTGTGCATTCCAGTTTAAACATTTACTTACAGGTCATTTATCAAGAAAAGAACAAGAGTCCATTTCCAGGTTCAGTGAAACAGACTATATCACCCAAAGTTAGCAAAATAAGATCAAATCTTCATTCTTTAATGAATTCTTTAATAGTCAAAAAGAAAGTCCCTTTGAACTACAAATACAAAAGTAACACTGGGGTGAAGAGCTTGCCTTTTCGTTCACATACTGTCTATGGCCTTCTAGCAGTCAAAAAATAACACAAATTTTAAAGCAAACTGAAACCAGTTTTGCTTTTAGGTTTTGTAGTGGCTCATATATGTCAATGAGGACTCAACATTCTTCCTCTTTGTTGACACACACAGAAAATAAGAGTCCCCTACTTGTCATTTTGAACATCTATCTTGAGTCATTAAAAAGGGCGATTTGAAACTTTCCTGGGCCACACCACCCACGCCTGCCTGCAGAGCAGGTCTCTGATTTCAGGAGCATTCCATTCACCAGGAACATGCAATCAGTACTGCCTACCAGGTGTTTACAAGTCATGCTTAAAAAAAGAATGCAAAGAAGGAAATATCCTTTAATAAATATAAATATTTAATCTTTTAAGGCCACTCGATAGTTCTTCAAATATTTTTAAACCATATGAGCAGAAGTCCAGCTATTCAGAACAAAACTACATACACTAACATATCTCCCAAATATTCCTTTTAAAGCGCTGAACTGAGATGTGCTAGTTCTGGATCATTTATTGAGCACATCAACTGTTGGCAGGAAACCAAAGACGATAGCATTTTACACATTTTTAAGTAAATGTTTGTTCTTTTTTAGTTTGCTTAAATTAGAGGAAAGGATTTCCAGTAGAGAATTTTCTGCTTTATTAAACTGAAAGAATTATAAGATTAGTTGCAACTACAGATAAACTGTACTGAAGTGCCTTTTCATACCTCTCAAGCACACTTTCCTGAGAAGAGGTTTGTTACCTTCAACTTTTTGTGGATAGAGCCATATGGTCCTACCACTCTCAGATTGGAAATCCTGGCGTCAATCTCTCATTTACTACTCATGTTCAACTGACAGACCCAACTGTGTTTGTCATCAATATGCCTTTTCTTCCAAGAGCCTACAACAGCAGATGAATTGAAGTGACCCCTAGCCAGCTTCTCCAAAACAAAGCATTATTCACTCAAACACACAGAAAAGGGCTTAGGCTTAAGCAAACAAAAGACCTTTAACTCAGCTTTTATCTTTCAGTCCCAGCCTCAGTAAATTCAGCTTTTTCCTGCTACTTCCACCTTGAGGTTAGGTGGGAGTAGGTGAGACTGTTTGTTTTGTTCCAGCTTCCTTGAGTGTTCCCTGGAGTCAGCGCCGTGTCCCCTGTGTGCAGCTGCTGACAGCCCACTCCACCTCCCTTCTTCCCTTGAACCAGCATCTGAAAAGTTTGAAAACTTTTGGGCCTAAAAAGGGCAAACTTTCTGACCAATTTGATTCCTGGCAGAGGCCATTTCCTATTCAGAATTTTTCTGTTAGTTTCCAAGAGAACTTCAGACAATTTCCTCAGAATCTATCATTATTTTCCTTCATGTGGTTTTCCCTTTGCAGTCAGGAAAGACAGTAACAATTAAGGAAACAGAGATGCATAAGGTATTTGCTAAAAATATGCCTAAACTCACAAAACTTCCAAAGCAGTAGAAAGAGACTTTAGTGGAGGTGACAGCCTCATAGCCTGTGACAGTGTCAGGGTTTAACTAACTGGTCACAAGAAAATAGAATTTCTTTTTCTTCACTGTCTTAAAATGTATCTGTTTATTAGATGGTTTGACATACTGTAATTTTTGATTAACCCTGAAACATGTATTCTGTGAATTCAGTAGTAATAGCTGTGACTAATAGATTTTAAGTGACTTTTCTATAAAACACAGAGTAAATTGTTTGTTAAACTAGGTGGAGCTAAACTACTTTTGAGATACATAGTACCTCTGGCACAAAAAGAGGTGGAATTCATTCCTACTTACCAACATCTCTGAGCTGCAGCTGCTCAGAACACCTCTTCACTCTCCTCTACACTGTGTTACATGTAATGGGCTTCACCTGCTAAATCTGGAGGAGTATCCAAACAGAAGTACCAAGATTCTCATGTGGGCACTGTTTTACAATATGCTGCAGAAGGTACTTAGAAATTGAATATGGATAATGAAGTGGATGATGAATAAGCCTACTGATTGTAGTATGATCCACTTTGCACCCAGCATTTCTTACTCTGTTCAGTGCCATAAGGGCAGGTGGCTTGGCATTGCAAGCTTTGATATTACTGCATTACTGGTTTTTTCTATTCAGACATGAAGTGAGGACATTGTTATCTTCCAAAATCTAAAATACTGTCCCTTTCTGTATATTTGCTGGCCTGTTAATGCTATATTGAAGCATTTCACAGTCAGCAGAGGACTAGAACTGTCCAGTTATGCAAGCCTTCCATCTCCTTGGTTTTGTGAATTTATACCAGGAACACGATGAGTTTGGCTGCTTTAAAGCGAGCTGAGTGGGCAGTAAACTTTTAGAAAATATACATAGTTTGAAAAATTTGAAAAGCAGCTAATATTTGTAACTGCAATTACTTTCATCATATTTACTAAATGCTATTGTGAAATATGTTCAAAGCCGAATTTCAAGCAAATATTTTTGCTATGTATTGTTTGATTATCACAAGCCAGTACGCTTTATGGGCTTTCTCCCACTCTAGAACCACTTTCAGATACTAAAGAGAGCACAGTTTTAGGGAATACGCTCCTCTAGTGGGCTTCTGGGGAGAAGCCCTCATGATTGAGATCCCTTCCACACATCCAATGAGAGAAGAGGGCAGAGCAGCATAAGGCACCCCTGCAAGCACCAGATCAGGCTGAGAAGGAATCTTGTTTGCAGGTATTCAGTCAGGTATCTGGCTTCCTTAAAGAGAGATAGTCCTTCCAAAACTCCCACCAGAGACTGATACATTGAAAGCTGCTCATATTCAATGAGCACTTTATATCTGTCCTCCTGTGTAGTGTTTTGGTGCAACCTGCAGATACGACTGATGTCAACATACAGAGCACTGTCCTTGTGAAGTGCTGCAGGATAACATCAGACTCCCCAGTAATGTTTCTGAATGAAAGTAACCACAGTGTGCATTTTACACTATTTGGGCAGCTTTGGTGTTGGATTTGGCTTATTTTGTTCTATCATCATCTATTAAACATAATGGCCCCTGATGTTTGGTGTTCAGTGAGAGGAAGGAAAAGCATTCTACTGGTTTATATTTGTTAATTGGACTTCATAATGGATACACATTAGCTGTATAATGGTAAAATTATGTAAAAAAAAAAAATTCTTAGCACTGCAGTTTAATTTCCAGATACTTGCACTGTAGGCTAAACTAATTTGTGCATTTGATGTAAAGTTTTTCAAAACCCATATGTAGTATTTGTGTGTATTCCTAACCAAACAGTCTTTGCCAGGAGAAACAGACAGCTTAAACTGTGAAGACAAAACTTATTCCTATGGTTAAATAAGATATTATTGGTCTTATTATACAATGCACACCAATTATTAGTATGCAGCATCACAATGCAATAAGTACTGTGAAGGCCATAGCACCCATGTTAAACCTGGTTGACACAGTTTGAATAAAGCAAACAAACAAAAAATGCACAACAACAAATAAAAAACCCACTACATTTCTCTTAGAGTTAGGATGTGTACTTTCAAAGTGCTTTGAAATAGCATGGTGTCATAAACATTATAAGTTTATGAGTTTATTGATACTAAGAAAGTTCACAACAGTTTGTTCAAAGCTTTTCCTGAGATTCTTACTTTCTAACCATGCAGTTTCCTTAAACATCTTGACTTAGAGCTTACCTGATCTGATCCTGAGCTTACCATTAAACTCAACCATGTCAGGGCCCATTTGTTGGCCCTGAGGACAATGGTATATTCTCTCTCCTTTAATTCTGTAGCTTACTAGCAGGAATGGTCCATGTTCTCTGCTAATGCCCTACACTGTCCCTAGAAGTTACATGAGAGAGTACAAGTTGGCTGCCCTCAGAAACCCGAGGGTTTTATTCTAACAATATCTCTGTGCAGAATATTTTCTGCCTGTGCCTGGATGCAAATTTTAATTCCTTTCAGTGTAACAGAATAAGCCTAGCCTTAAAGTTTTGGGATTTGCTTTGCTGATGATTGCACATTTAACCCAATCTCTTGTTCTTAAATAGGGAAAATATGTTTGTTAGATGTTTTCCTTTATGAAAGCTGTGAGTTTGGTGTAATAGCTGATCTGCACGAAGACCTTTTGGTATATTGCGAGCATTAAATTCCTCAGCTATCCACATTGATTAGCTTGAGGGCACGCTGATGCCTTCCATATAGAGTGAGTGGAAACATTTTAAATACAATCCCTCTCCTGGGGAATTTGCCAGTGCTTGAGCTGTGCATAAAGTATATACCACTTCAACATCTTCATGACTGTGTTACAGCTCATCAGCAGTAGCTAGCTAAGCTGATGTTCAGAAATCCTCAGCCACAGGTTACCACAGTTCCTGGGCTGTCCTGCTGGTGTGGTAACTCCCACACACATCACAAAAGAGGTGCTGATCACAGCAAACAGGAACCTCTCACTAATAAAAGTGTCCCCATAAGCTCAGAGACTTATGCAGAGATCAGCCCGGAGAGGTCAGTGTAGCTAAATTTTCATCACTCCCACTCTTAGGGATGGGGTGTTGAGTCCCAGCTCTGGCATTTTCAGGTGAACACTAAGGGGCACAATCAAAGTCTGCTTCAGCCTGAGATGAGAGCAAACAGACTCCTCACCCTTCACAAATATGAAATTGATGAGCTTCCAGCTCAGGTTCAAATAGTTAACATTTCTACTCCGCCAGTCTGCAGAAGCACCTGAATAGTGTTAGTGAGGACACAAAAACAGCTTCAGTGCATCATGAAAAGGATTGTTCTCATATTCCTCTATCTTCCTGCTTCCTCTACAGCTCAGCCATTATTCTCTTAAAAATCCCAGACCAGCTTATACCAATCCACTTCCCTCTACCACAAGGTCTCCTAAGCACCTCAATTAGATTCTGTCCAGTATTTCACTTAAAATCTGCTTCCCAGAAAGGACCACCAGTAAAATTCTGATGCCAGTCTCTTAGATATCTTACAGAGTTGTGTTGGAGGCAGAGGAAAAAACAACTGGCATAGGACACAGGATGAGAATTTTTTATATTCTATTTATACAAAATCACCTTTGCATGTTGAGGTATGGTGAAACCCTTACTTCCAGCTTTCTGAGAAAGCCCATTAATCACCACAGCTCTTCAAAAGTGCTTATTTCTTTCTGGACTGGAATATCAAAGAGCATTTACATTTCATCTGTCATGTCCAGCTTCATCAGAGATGAACTTGCCTGGGGACAATATCCTCTAAAGAAATGTGGCATCCTTGCATTGCCAATTCACTGCAGAGGATTAGCATGTCAAAACAAGAGTGGTGAATAAGTACAGGTGAAAACCAGAGAAAATGCTAACACAAATGTCTTTGCAGTTGCAGATTCTCTGCCCCCAGTCTTACCAATATAGCTAAAGGCAAATGAAGGAGACTGTAATGATTTAATCACATTCAGAAATGTTTCAGTCTTAGATATCAGTCTTAAGAGAGGAACCCAGGCAGTAACTCAAATTTTAGCAGTGCTACTGGGAACACAAGCAGATAACAGAAGTCTATTCTGAATTTAAAATCTATGGCTATTAATGAAAACAAACATATCTGCTGTTTCATCATCTACCTTCCAAACTACATAAACAGCATTTTAGGAAGTAATACCAAGTTCTTTCTGGAAAGAGTTTACACAGTTCACATGGAAACAGAATGAAGGCCATCCATTCAAAAGTAGAACTTGCATTTGCTCACAAGTGTTAACAATATATTTGTAAAACTTTGAGGTTTTATATGTAACTTTAATGTGTAATAGTCATGTATATGTTTTTGAAAAAAGTCATTAAATAAGCTTAAGACAATCATGATTATTTGGCAAATGAAATGTGAACTTCAGTAATTTTAAAGGTGCACAAATATCTGTATAAAAATAATAATAATACAAAAAGTCTATGTATAGGGAATAAAAGGGAGAGGTCATATTTATTGCTGAGCTGAATTGTCACCAGATAACTGTAAACTTTCATCAGAACTGTCCTAAATATGGTACCTCTTTGAAACATATCACAAGCCTGGTTCCAGATATTTCTAGTCTATTTCTAGTTTATTTCCCTTTTAACTGTCAGTCTGTTGCAAAAGCTGAAAGAACCATCCCCTAAAGTCTTTTTCTTTTACTATCAGATACATAAAGGACAAGTAGCCTGAGGCTCAATATTTTTCAGGCTTTTAAATATTTTTTTCCTCAGTGTTGAATGAGCATGTGTCATTTCTGCAGCAATTCAGAAGCAAATGGTCCCAAGTTCAAACTGTGACTTTTTTTAGATTAGATCTGTCGGATAAAAATTTGTTGAGATGAAATGCAATTCATCTGCTGTAGATGTCAACCCAAACTGACAGAAATAAGGATTCATATACAAAGGGAAAAAAATATTCTAGGGAACCAAAAATCCCAAGCATGGCAATGTGTAAAGTGAAAGGTCTTTATTTGCAGCCCATACACCCGACTATTTTGTTCAGTGACAAAGTATCACAGGGATTATCCAAAAAGCAATCAGACAGGTGGACTGCTCCTAAATGCTGGTTTCTCTTTTTAAAGTGCACCATCAGTCAGCAGAGAGAGAACAGAAACACAGAGCCAAGAACAAAACAACCATTAAGGGCCAGCTATAATACATGAGCAGTTCCTTCTCAAATTCATGGCTTTGGTTCTGTGGTCAGTGTTTTGAGCATCAGTCATGAATTAATAAACATCCATGGCTCCAGCTGCCTCACAACATGGATCTTTCTGCAGTATTTAACTGAGGGAAGAGACGTGGCAGAGAACACATAATGGTTTCCAATATCTGGACACAAGCAAGGACAACTGTGTTCTTCTCTTAATTAAATGTTAGAGAACAGTTAATAATTTAACATGGAGTATTTGTCTGACAGGTCTGTTCTTTTACTGATTGCCTTCTTGAGAACAGTTATGTCCTCCTAAAATTCATTTCGTTTCAAAGGATGGAAGGACCATGAATAATTCAGCCTATTCATTCATTATGTTACTACTGAAATATGAATTATCTTTTCTCAAGTTTATTTGTTGGGTTAAGGCAAATGGAATAAGCATGCGACCTCTTCCCATATAAAAGTTTTATGCATTAAAATTTTAGGCACAAGTGTCTTGAGACATATCAAGCATAGGATTTTCAGTATACATCACTCTGGAACTGAAAACTTTGAAAGTAGGAGAGCTACCAAAAATTACAATCAGCTTGGAAAAATCAGCCATCTATAACAAAAATTATATCTTACAGTGTATAAAATTTTGAAAATTGCCAAGATTATTAAGTATTTTTTCATTTTTTTATAGCCTGCGTACCTGCTTATTTTACATTCCCTGCTGGATATCCAGTTTTCCCTTGCTGTTTTGATATACTTGGCACCATGCAGAATCTGTGAGAGGAAAATAAATAGTATGTTTTAAAAATGGGCTTTTGTGACTGTAATACTAAAAAAATCATTAGGGCGGGTCAAGTACATCTTAATTTGCCCAGTTAACAATATAGCTGTGAGAATAGCTATTCTAATAATATCATAGGTACTGTTGTAACCCAGGCCACTGAAAGCTAAATTGCATGGCTGAACCTGGAAAAACCTGCAGCTAAAAGGTGCCAGAGGTTCACTGTGCTTATCCCACCAGCACATACTCAGATATGTGCTCATGAAATCTTAAGGCAAAGTGTTATTTATAATTCCATACTAACTACAGTGATGCTTACTGATACATGCTCATTGCACTACTAAAGGTTAAAAGTTAAAAGAAAAACATACATATAAGTACCCAGTCAGCACTTACCTTATCCTATAAGGTTCATAAAAGACTAAGATCATTAAATCAGATGTAGGATAATGAAGTAGGGGACCATAGTCTTTTCTGCAGTGACAAATCAAGAGAGAATACTTGAATGAGTGTGCATTCAATGGCTTCAAGGAGAGGTATAATTAGAAGTGGTAAGGTGAACATAAATATTGTACACAATCATCTGACTGACAGCAGCAGGAGCCAGCAGGAAGCATCTTGATCTAATTGACCCCTACCCCCTCTGCCTGAAAAACAGATTTGGGCCTAATACAAAAGATTTCTGAAAACTTTGATGTGGACTGCTATTACACATTTCAAGGTATTTATAAAGCAGCACCTGCTTGTGCTACCAGTTAGAAGGAATGTCATATTTTCCCATCTTAGGTCCCCACTCACAGGGCTTTCATAGTGACTATAGAATTAGTTTAAAGGCTCAAACTTGACAAACAAGGGTTTCTGAGAGAGATTTTTTAAAACACAAAAGGCATTCAGACACTGGTGGATTTTTGTTAGAGTTGCACAAATAACCACCTTTTTTGCATATGCAAATTTCTATCTCAGATGCTTTTTTCTTCATGCATTCCCTCTTTCATTCATTAGGAGCAGAATATTAATTTTAAAATCCCAACAACAGCAGCAGCAAAACAGGTAAGCAAACAAGAGTAATTTTTGTTTGCCTATTTCACTATAAGCTCACATTGTTTGTATTATTAGTAGTCTCAGTTTTCTCTTCACCCTCTTTATTCTAGAATGAGAATTAAAGGATAATGGAAACAAAGGTCACTTTGAAAAATGCGAAAATTTTTTGGCTAAGAAGTATTCTGCTGACTTAGAAGCAAGTCAGTATATGGGTGGTGAGTCACAATCAGTGGTGATGGATACTCACAACATAGCAGTGAAAGTGCTGTAAAGGCTGATGTTTAAACAGAACCAAAAATCTGTAAGAAAAGCATGTGATCTGTGAAGGTCGAAGCTAGGAGATGGTAAAAAGTGGAGTGCTCATTATTCTTTTTTTCTTTCTTTCCTTTGCATGGAAATATTCAAACAAATCCAGACTGAGAAACAAACCTGGGAATCTAAAAACATTCTCTCCCACAATACAGACTTAATTTTCAATTGAGCTAGATAGGTAGGTAGTATATGTAGTTAGGTAGGTAGATAAAGAAATAGAGATAGAGATGATATATATTTATATAAGCAAGAACAGTACTAATCTTTATAAATATAATACTTAAAGGATCTCACTTTCTTTGTTGACTTGGATTTACAGCTTCAAATGAATCAGAGCAAAGTTCTGTACAAAGAATTTACTTCCCAGGTTTTTTATACGTAAAGCTACTTCTCTCTATGTTCTTCATTTTAGTAAACAGTTTTAGTCTCCCTTTTAGTATTTTTTTGTAAAGTACTTATATTTTCATATATTAATAATCTTTCCAGTGATCAGTTTCACCAGAGCCCAGATCAAAATTGGAACCTATGTTGACAACTTGCTTGTGACCAACACCTCGTCTTGTCTTCCATTAAGTTATTTGGAAAAAGAAGGGGCATGCTCAGAGTTCTGTGCTTCAGAGCATTATGCTAGGTACTTGCATGCAATATACATGGCATTAAAGGAATTCAATAACAGCAAAGTGAGACTACTCAGATATTTCTTTCTTTATGTAAGAACCATATTCATTTATTTTCTAGTGGAAAAATATGAATGCCTAAAAGGCCTCTGTGTGACACTAGGCTTACTGGTGGGATGACTGAGATACAGCAGTCTAAGATTTTACTGCCTAAATGAAGTAGAAAAATTATGAGTAAGAAAAAAGCTAGAAGACAGAAAGGTGTCGTGACAAGCAGGTTTGTAGCTTCCTTAGGTACTCAGTTGACTGTCAAAGGCTAGAGCAGCTGCTCAGCATATGGCTTGATGCTTCAAGAAGTGCCTAGGAATGAAGTGCCTCCCTGTTTCTTCTGTGTGATCCAGAGAAGGGACACCTGGGAGAAAGCTTTGACAGGCAGGAGCCTTCCTGCAGGATTACACAAGGGGATGACGAGAGGAACTGCCCAATCAGCTGAGCTGTCTCCTGTGCTTCTGTCTAAAAGTAACTAGAAGAAAATAGCAACTGAAAGAGACCTAAGTATAGTAGGTATTTCTGAAGTAGAACTGTCTGTCCCAAGTCAGAAGAAATAAAATATCTTATTAGCAATATGTGCAACTGAGAAATTATAGTTGAGTCAGGTTGAAAATGGGATTGAAAGTGGATATAAAAGTACCTTGGGAAGAGGAGTGGGGAGCAGACCGTGCTCAAACAGAGAAGGATTGGAATGATGGGACAGAATAATTCATATTTAGAAGCACTGACAAGCTAGTCTGTTTTTACAGCAGCAGTTCACATCTCTGTATGTGACTGAAGGGGCCTAAGTCTCCGCAATCCTCTATTGTCAGAAAACATGATGCTAGAAACCCAACAGAAAAAGAGAAAAAAACAAAGCACAACTTATATTTTAGTTTTGGGGATAAACTTGAGCTATATATTGGACAGACCCTTTCCCCATTCATTGACAACGTCAAAGATAAAGATGTCAAATGCCAGTACAAAAGCTAATAGGATTATAAAACCCTCCTACTGTATCAGAAGAAAAGAAACAGAAGTTGAGATAAAAGAAAATAAACCCTTTAAAACTGTAACAATGGGTGACCATAACTACCTTTATGGTAGTAAACCATTCATACACCATGTCAAAAATGAGGTGTGTAAAAGTAATTTTTTGGTTTTATATGTGTTGAATACTTCTGGCAGCTTTAGCAAATTCAAGAAGAAAACCTCATCCTAAGTAAAACCTAAGGAATTTGATTAAAATTTGGATTGAACATTAGGCACAGTGACCAAGATGTAACTCTTACAATACTGTAGTACAGAGTGGGCTCTTTAAAATCAGGAACTGTCCACACACCTTTCCCCTTTTCCTTCTTCATTAGATATGCTAATTCATCACAGGGATAGATTGAAGGAGAACCTTCCAGCTAAGTTTACCCAATGTTTTCCAAAAAATGACAGCCTGAAAGAGGCTTGAAAAACAAACTCCCTGAACAAAACAGACTACCAGATGACCTTTGCATGCAGCAGGGGAAACTTGAGGGACGTTTAAGAGACAGGAGCAAGTAGGTAGAGAGAACTTGTGGGAATGGTGTAAGAGGTTTCACAATCATGTGGGGTTTTTGACAAAATTAAAATTCATAGCCAGAACCAGCGCTGGACCTCTCTGGAGAGATGAGGGGAAGTAAATTCTATGGATCTGAGAGACTGTTTCTTTTCCAGGCACTGGCAATTTTTTTTGTGTTTGTCTCCAACCAAGGACAATTCCTGCTGGCGATGAAACCTTTGATAACTTGTGTCTAACTTCTAATTCAGGTGGGAGACCATAACTGCGCTGTGCAGGTAACTCAGAGACCTGCAAAAAGATATTTGTTCTCCATGACTGCATCCTGCTTAAGCTCTTGAAGGCTATTAAGACTACTTGAAAACAGTGATTTATGTGAGTCACAAATATGATATGATGACCAAGGAGAGTAAAGCTCAGAAAGCTCCCTCCCAGCTCAGAAACTAAAATTGGCTCAGTCTATTTTGTCTTATTTTTTAGGGTTTTCTTTTCCTCTTTGTTTGTAAACTTGCACAGAAATGTCATATCATGTCACAAATGCTAAGAGAAAAACAAAATCTCCGAAGTCAATGAGGCTAAAACGGATATTCAGATTATATTTAATATAGTAGGACTCAAAACTAATGAAGAATGCCTTCTGTTCTGAACAAAAGCCAGAAGAAAATTAAAATCACCAAAATAAAGAATAGAGTGTTCCATTCTTAATGCAGCAAAAGTTGGTGATTCAACTGCTGGAATAGCAGAGGGCAAAACAGAAAGCATTTGTAGATAAGAAAGCAAAAGCTAATGGATATTTTCAGTAAGCCTAAAAGCTCTGTTACCACTATAGTGCAAAGATAATGGTTTCTACCTCTACAATTCCTTGCAATGATTGTTTTGCCAATATATAGTAGAAAAGAAACAAAGAGTAATAATTGCTTGTCAGCACTGATGAAGCATGACAGGCATCAGCCATGGGAAGGGGAATGCCACTTCACTGCTGCATCCAATGGTAACAGACTGCCCAGAGTTTACACTACACTGTTCACCCATGGAACTGGGTCAGGGCTGTGAAGGAAAGGACAGCTGGAGGTCAGCTTCAGCAAGCTGTTTGTGTCTGTCTAGTTAAAATACATTCAGGGACCCTCAACCACTGAGATAATTTAAAACTGAACAGAATGATGTTGCAAATCATATGATAGGTTTAGGCTTTGCTCACAGATCAGGTCCAAATGAAGTTCACAAAAGCTGCAACAAAATAATTTTTCCAGGAAAAGGCATATGTCTCAGCACCTTACATCACAGAGGGGTATCTAAATATAGTCTAATTACATAAAATGATATGCAGCATGCAGATTCAAATTGTGTAGTGGAAGCAAAGAAGGAAGGAGTCACAAGATAAAACCTCATTATAAAAAAGGATGCACAGTGAAAAATAAATCATAGTTTATGAACATTCTTTGTTA